CCGGTGATACCTCGCGTAATACCGGCTCGTTCCGTACCTCGTTTCTTTATGGTAATGCGTCGTATTAAATTCTTTCCGCGAGACAAAGGAGCGAAGAATCCTTTCGGCGTCTCTTCCCTTCGCCACCAACTCCGGCGAGGAATATCTGTATCGCGACCATGCAAAGTCCGCCGGACTATAAAATGTCGGATCGTTCGAAACTCCAGCCGTCCATCTTTTTTCCCCGCTCGCCGTTCGTCTTTACTTTATGCTCCTTCGCCTTCTCTTCGTTCCAACGGTTTCCGGATAATCGAATATTTCACCGGTGCACGCGTGTCCCGAATAATCACGGCTCGCTGCGAATTTAATTAAACCTAATCCATTTACCGTCGAATCCGGGATTACCCTGGCGCGCACTCGTTGCATCTCGTACGCAAGCCCTATCGCACGCCCGCTGGCCTATCTCCACCTTCCAATGTCACCACGCGGATCCTTTCGCGTTTCTAAATTTAATATTCCTGTTTCCGAGAGTGGCGGCGCGGTGAACGAAGCGCGACGACGTCCATCCATCGACACCGGTTGTTAGCCGTTAACCGTTCCCATCGTTTGCTCGCTTTCGTCCTTGGAGCGTATACACGTTCTCCACTCGGAAGAGTCGAGCACCGGGGAAGGCCGGATCGCGTCATCGTTCAGGAATCACGCTGAATCACGACAGCGCACAACGGGCCTCGGATCTAACGTTCCTCCACTCTCGTGCAACGACACCGTGTGATTCTTCGACATTTCCCGATCACTAGCCAGCGGACGCGACCGTCCGAGGCTATCCTTTACCATTGACCCTGTCTCTCGTCGATGGTTCGATTAACCGTCGAACCGGCCATTTCGGGCTAGCCAAACTCTCAGCCGATGGTCGGAAGGTTAACCGTCCACTCGTTACCGTAAAGCTTTCCTTAATCGTTTCCGATTCGTTCTCACGCGATCTTCTCGCAAGGTAAATCTGTCGGAAACGGGAAAACGCGATTTCCTCGATGGTGAACCGAGGCAACGGTTGTCGTATCTTAGATATTCCGAATATTTTACACGGCTTTAACGCGTAAACGTTTAAATTTCTCGTCGTTTCAGACAATGGACGCTACGCCTGATCCGAGACAAGAGTCTGTTCAGCAAGGATGCGACGTTCGAGAACACCGATGGCCCTATCGCCTTCGACGTATCGCACTCTTACGTGGGCACCGTGTTGGGTGAGTTTCGCCATCGCTCTTCGCGTTTCCTTTCGCGACGATACGCCGAAGCCACTTGGATTTCGTCGAAATCACGCGCCATCTTTCAAGCTTCTCCGCGACATCCGCGCGCGTTCCACCCTGTCGGGGTAAAGGGTGAAGGGCCGGGAAAAGTGTCTACCGTGAAACGGGGTTGAACAACGGCAGAGGAAAAACTGCGGAGCGAATTTGAAAGCCGACTTTTTAATTTTAATATGCAATATCGGGCAAGGACACGCGCGGTCTGTCCGCTGCAAAACCCGCTAGTGTACGAGTACACAGAGGGTGATATTCCTTTCAGAGGAGGCCGCTTCAAACGGTTGCGCGTTTTCGACAACCCGATCGGATCAGCGCGAATTTTCCACTTTCGTCTCGCTGCTTTTCGCTCCCCGGGATTTCGACCCCATCGAAATTCACGCGCGCGAAGCGTTCGCTGAAAAATATATGCTTTCGCAGTGGAAAGAAGAGGGAGGAGGAAGAAAAATAAAAACGGGAGAGAAAATAATGAAAAATTCCTGCAAATCGCTCCGAGGGATGAATCGAAATTCATCGTTCCTCGACCTTTCCTATTCGGCGAATAATAAATCGTCGACGATGGGAAAATACACGGAATCCAAGGGAAACCGCCGACGAGCGAGTTTCTTGGCTGGTCACCGAACCGATGCAGTTCGTTCGCCGGTTGACGTCCTTCGTCGGAGGACGCATAATCCTTGCTCGATTCCCCGGCATTGAACCGAGAATCTCATTTTGATCGTCATCCTCGCAGTCGCGGTCGTTTGGACGCCGGCCAGGTACCCCATTGAGGGTGTACGAGCGAGAAGTCTCGACCGTGCTCCCGTGAACCATGTTCGCCGTCGATATGGGTACACGCGTATCGAGATTCCCTCAGATCCCAGTCAGAATTCCGCCTTTTTCTCTCTTTTCGCTCGCGGTGTCGCGTATTTCGGATCTTCCAACCCCCGACGTCGATTTCCACGCTGTAGCCACTTTCGAATGTCCATCCGTTAGTCTAGGAAGTTGGTCCAGGAAGTTGGTCTAGGGAGTTGGGCGTAAGGAGAGGCAGGGGTGGTTTACAGGGGAATCGCGGGGTAATTCTTCGGCGTAAGGGATACGGTAAAATGGATGAATCGGAGCCGTTTAACGAGCACCATTACGGGATCGAGCACACGACGACGGGAACAATGGGAATTATTTGGTGGAAGGAGAAGCGGAACTGGCAAGTTCCGCAGTCGAAAGAGTACGCGTCTCATAATTTCGCTCGCTACACGAATACGCAAAGTTTTCATCGTAATCACGTCGCGAGTGTTTCCCCGCGTGCAATTGTTAGCTGAAGTATGCCGGCACATCGAGGTGGAGCCTTAAGCTTGCCCGACCGTCGACTCGAGTCACGGAAATTTATTCCATTGTCATGGAATGCGGAGAGATGCCGGCGCGGGATGTCGGAGGAAGCGGAGGAAGGAACTCTTTTCCGAGTTGGCGTACGCGAGTTTGTTCCCCGTCGTACAGCAGCGCGACTGATAAGGAACGAAAATAATTGGAAGCCGCGGAGTTGTGGAAATAAAGCGGAATAACGCGGAACGGTGGCGTATAAAGCAGAGTAACGAGTATAGCACGGAGCTGGAAATTTCGTTAACTCGGCCAGCGTGGACGACGAGAGCACCGGGCCGGATTCCCGCGTACACGAGAATATGGCAATATCGGAGAGCTATCTGATTCCAGCGCGGCGTTCCAGCAGCGAGAGGAACTCGAGTAAGCAGATACGTGTGCCGACGAGCAGCGTACGAAGCCCGCAATATAATTTCGTGCACCGAATGAGTTCGAACTGGTCTAACCACAACCTCGCCACCGCTCGAAACTTGATCGCGTACAACGCCGTCGACGTCCGTGCCGACCCGCGATCGACGTTTCTCTTCGACCCACTCCGTACTTGCCAACCTGCGCACCCGTCGTTATTCCTTTAATAATGCCTCCGCTGAGATCGCGCCGCTTCTTCCCTCCGCCAAATTTCCGCGCGTAACTTGTTGAATCTCTCCGTATTCCTCCACCTTCCGCAACGCCGTCCACCTCTTCCTCTCGTGCTTTTAATCAGCCGCCGCTACTAACTAGACCGCTGCTAACTGTACCGCTACCAGCAGCGGTTCGGTTTCCATCTCCGAAATGAATTTTTCAAATTACCGAGTAGCGATCGAGAACGTTCCCGATGAAGGGATTCGAGCAATGGCGACCAACCTAGACGCACTCGTCACTGGAAGGGTTCGCGGAGTCGCGAACGTACCCTCCTCCACTTGCTACAAATAGGATTTCCTGACTGGTCAGTGATACACACCGCGTCTGACGCAAAGGCCTGGTTAAGTAACCTAAACGCTTGTCCTCTTTCTCTTCCTTACTTTTCGCTCACGCAGCTCAGAAGTCTTGCCAAAATTTGAACTCGATTGTCGATTTAGGATCCCTTTCTTCGGGAACGTTCTCGATCGTAGTAGAATCGATACGGGTCCACGATGAACATATCTCACCGATAGAGATCTCGTTGGCGAGTTTTGCGTTACGGAGTGCGTAACTTTTGCACCAGCCTGTATAATGCTGATGGGCCCGAAAGAAAGGTCTACCGTATCTAAGAGGCAACGGTTACGCCTGCCCATGCACGAACGTAAAGCTGCGAGCTGCGGTGTTTTCCGTTTCCAGGAATAAGGCAACTCAATTACCGCGATTCTTCGCGCGGTCTTATCCCGGCGTGCACCGCGTACGCAACAGCCGCAATTACTCGATGGCTAGATCTACGTCCACGAGTCAGCGAAGAAAACGCGAAGGGAACGCCGTTCCACTGCCTCGAGTCCTCGCGATTCAAAGGTCAGAGATAAATCGCGGGAACGTGGTTCCGCGTGGAAAAACGGAGGAACTCGCGATGGCGGGTTGGTTCGAAAGTGGAACCGATCGCGGATCGTTATCGTTCGTTTCGCTTGCGACCGAAGAATCGACAGTCGTTGGAACGATGTAACAAGGAGGAACAGGAGGAAACAGTGGCTGAGCGTAGAAACACGAGTACGATGGACTTGTACGGAATTGCTCGCACGATGGACACACGGCGGCCATAGAGCGATGCAGATGATCCTCGTGTACGGCTTCGTAATTGGAAGCTACGGAAGAGATGAAATAATCGCACGCATAATAACCGGCCCGATGATCGTTTATCGCTCGGTGAAAACGAGCCGGACGCGCAGTAATTGCTCGAATGACACGATGATTAAATTAACTCGACTTTTCGATCCGAGTACACGGTCGTGTTTGGTCTCTCGCGTAGGTCGCAGTGGAACACAGAGCGGCGTGGTGCAACCGTGCAGGATAACCCGTATCGCTGATAATCCGATTACCGATTAAACTTGCCTAATTGACGGTGTACCCGCGTGTAATTGCGCCGGCCGGAAACGGCCGATTGACGTGCTGCGATAATGGAGAAGCCAGGTTGATGCGTGGCAAGTCACCGAGAAAATTCCAGCCGAGGCAATCTTGCAGCCGAGCAGTAGCCCGCTCTTTCCGACCGGAAACCTTCCTCTCTGTGTCCGTCGACTCGTCGAGGGACCAGCAGCGACATTTTAATCAACCCACCCGTCTTTCCACCAACGCTCGCTATCGCGGAAATAGTTTATTCTCGAGACGCGACAATCGAGTGGACGCGTAGTAGCCGAGTCGCTCTTGTAAACCGTCTGGCGAATAAATGAACAGTGCGATTACCGAACCAACGAATAGTCGACCTTCGAGTGGCCAGGTAACGAGCTTCCACGAGGATCAGATCCGCTTTTTATCCCTGGCCAGTCGATTAATCCCCCTAACTCGGCCATCATCGACGACCTCAAGGATGAGTTGGCCCAAGTTGCGGCAGGGTCTTCTGGCTAGTAGCCAGTGTACCGCTGCTCGACGTATTCATAACCGACGTGGTGCTTCTCGCTTCGGAGCTTTTCACACTCGAGGGTTACAAATTACAGGGGCAAAACGCCGGAGATAAAACGTGTGCTTAACGTGCCGGTACTTTGGCTAATTAAGCCGGGATTTAAGGATGGTAGCCGTCGTTCTTAACCTCGTCGTTTCCACTCGAAGAAATTCGTACGTTTCGAGCGGTCGCCGCTCCTTCCTGGTTCGATTCCGCTTCTTCTTCTTCTTCTTCTCGGTTCTCGATTCTCGATCGGTAGTGGATCGGTCGCGATCGATTGCCGATGATAACGACGATTGATGTGCCGTCGAACTCGAACTCGAACTCGCGGTCGAACGGGTGAATTTAAATTATACACCGGATCCCGCGATCTCGATCGGGTTCCATCGGCGAAACGAGGAATTAGAGAAGCGATCGCGACGTGATTTAACGCGACGTCGAGATCAGCGTGATCTATATCGGTTAATCGACAAACGCGTGTCGGCCCTCGACCCGGTCGCGAATTTTCCCATGCACCGCGAGCGATCGAGATTGAAAACGTTATCGGCGGTCCCTGCCTTGTTGGGCCACGCCGGCCGCTAGCTTTCATTAACGGGTCTGCATTAATTATCGCGGCGGTGATAAATAATTGGCGTTACGTCGTTAACGCGATCCGCGTAATTGAATAATTCCGCCGAGTGCAGGACGGATTTTATGCCCGGCGGAGCGCGTTCCACGCCCACGCGAAAGAAAATATCAGGGGTTGCGTGCCGGGTCGTGCCTTTTCGCCGTGGCATAGGAGATAAGGGGTGGGCTGGGGGTCGGCGAATAAAATTATCCGTCGACTCGGTAAGACGCACGGGAGCGGAACTCGCGCGACGACTACTTTTTCCAGCAGCTCGCTAATTGCACGAGACAAAGGAGATGCGGCCGAGGGAGCGTACCCCGTTTCGTCGATACGCTCGCGGGACGATCAAATTAATTAACGTCCATCTCGGGGTTATGACTAATCAAAAGGAATCGCGAGGATGAAACGGAGGGTGAAAAAGTAGCGCTGGGGGCGGAGGGTGAGCGGGCG